AATCTGATAGAATTTCCGAAACATTTATCTATGTCCCCTTCTTGTAAATAAACAATGTTGTATATCATAAATGTCATGTTATTGAATATTTCTGTACTGGATTATAAAAAAGAATTTGGAAACGATGTTCGTGATGCAATATTGACGAATGTCACTGTTGTTATTGGTGAATTCATTATATTTTTAATATCGTTTCTGTGGAGAACGACGGCAATTTATCTCTCAGTGTTTTGAAAATAATGTATAACAGATCCAAATATGTTTTATGGATTGCCTAAGAATTAACTTACATTAAACAAGCGATGATGTCATGATGATTTTGAGTAAGGAAATAAAACAAAGAAAATTAAATGGAGATTGAAGTAGTTAATCTAATAATACTATGTTCCAATTCAGAATTATTTTGAAAGATTGGTTATTTGTAGCTTACAATTAGTGAACATTTCCGTTTATTAAATTCAAAATTTTATGGATGCTTAAAATATAATTTTTTTACTTTTCGTCATCTATGAATTACTTTAGCCGATTATATATTTTTTCGTATTTGTTAGTTGTATTATCTATGGTGTTTTGAGTCCATTTTATTCACCATATAGTAACTTAAATTAACAATGTGAATAATATTATGTTAGTTGTATTGTTCTTTACTTTTAATGGCGTTTCTTTTAAGAAATATGGTTGGTAGAAATGTTATTTACACTCCTAAGTAGTCGGAAAAAAAGAATATATTTAGCGCTCTCTAGCGGTGGATTAGCTCTTTTTTTTTCTCCATTTTCGTTGCCAAGTCTGTTTAACTTAAAGTTAAACGTTAGTTTAAGTGTTTTTGTATTTGAGATATGTTATTTTAATATTTTATGACAGTGTGACTCATAATTTAAGAAATATATGTATATAACATTTATAAAACTGATCAAGAGTTGAGGTTACAGTTCGAAGTCATGGTTTTCAACAACAGTTAATTCTGATTTTGTGTTGTTTAAAAATATTATTAAAGTAACTAAAATTACTAAGTAATCAATAACTCTTATTAGTGTTACTGTTAGTAATAAATAAGTTTAATTTCATTCAGAGTTTCTGAACTTTAACTACTCTAAACAACATAGTTGTTAGCTACTTTCCATGTTAGTCTCCATGTAGTGGAGTTTGTGTAACACTAATAGGATTAATTCCCGTGTAATGTATTGTTTAGTGGTTTTTAACGTGCAACTAAAAATCTAAGTTGTATTTGTTTAGTAATACACTATGAATTCAGATTATGTGCTTCTGCAGTGTCGGACCAAGAGTTGTATTATACGTTTATACTAAATTATAGTAGAGATTACCACCCTTATGGCTTATCTCAACTCTTGCAACAGTATTTATTAATTTTTGATGACAGTGAAGGCTACATAATCGTTTTATGATCTAAAAAGGTTATTTTTTTATATTGTAAGCTTAATATTGAGCTGTTTACTAAATGGTTAGGCTACTAAGTTAGTTCATTGATTAATACTTTTTTTCTTCAAATTATTGGGCACAAACCTAGTGAAGTGAATGAACAATTAAAAATCTTGATTTTAAAAGTATACAAAATGAGAAGAGAACATCTCAAAATGCTTCTCATACTGCATCAAGTAAACAATGCTTTTTCTCAGCCTTGTTTCCACTCCTTTAATCTGTTCTTAATCACACATGTAATTAGACTATGTATTACATATGTTTTACTTTTATTTTTACAGTTTGTAGTGTGCTAAAGGTCATGAATAAAGGAAAGTTTTTGTAATAAGTCAATAACATAACATATAGGTAACAAGGGACCATTTAATTGTTCAAGGTCTTCCCTACACAGCCATCCATGAGAAAAAATAAAAACTTAAACCTGTATTATTTCAGAAATTTTTTTATACCTGTTTTAACTCTTGTAAAGTAATGACTTCCCCTAGTGATTATGGCAGCTTATTTCATAACCTAACCACCCTGTTAGAAAAATAGAACTGTCATAATGATTATTAGTGTGTCTTTTTCCAAATCTTAAACTTGTGTCCTCTCATTTTATTTTCTTCAGAATGTAGCATGATGAAACAGAGGCCTATATTCTATTGATCCCTAACTAGTCTTGCAAATTACAGCAAGATAACCTCGAATCCTTTTTTCTCAAGAGAAAAATAAGAAATCTTAACTTAATCCTATAAGATAATCTTTCCATCATAGTAGCCATCTTTTGAACACTTTAAAGTCAGTATCCTTTCTTAGATAAGTGTACATATTAATCCAAGCTAGCACACTGGGCCTATGTCCCAAATCCCTAGTTGGTGTCTTGAAAAACTAGAATGGAAAACCATGATTGATATTGTACTGAAATGCTGAAAATTCTTGGGCTTATGGGCCCGAGCCTTGAATCTTCTAAGTACCTAGTGACACCTCTGAACCCAAGTGAGGCCTAACTAATTATTTGTGTGAAGAAATGATTACCTCTTTTGACATATAATCAGTTTGTCTGTAAATACACCATAAAATTCTGTAACCTTTGTTACTTCCATCCAACACCGCATATATGGTTTGAGTAACTTGTCTACCATAGTATTAATGTAAATAAGAAAAGCAAAACCATGAGCAGTGACCCCCTAAGACACTCCACTTGTTACAAGGGACAGGTTGATTGTACTCCATTAATAACATATTGTTTACTCTCTGTTATCCATCCATCCTATAATTCAGTTTAATTGTCATATTTTCCAGTCCCATCATTTTTGAATGTAAATAATATAATAGATTGTGAAACTGATTGCTTTTGAGCATATAATCTATGAGGTTATCTTAATCCCAAATGAAGCATTTTTTGGTAGAGAAATCCATTATCCATTAATTGAAATTATCCAGGCATAAAACACCCCTCCCTTCTTGCAAGCAAGGCTTCTTTTCATTATGTTATAAAAGAGAAGTTCTATTACTAAGTAAGCTAAATTATTGACTTTTGTATTTTAGCAATAAGGTACATTTTAGGTATTGAGGATATATGAGCACAATATATGTATGAGGTTATGTTTAGTTACTATTTATTTGGGAAATTGTTCCTCACCATTTTGAGTAACCCCAAATATAGTGTAATTATATTAATATATAATCCAGGTTTGAATATACATCATTACAAATTTTTTGGAATAAATATATAATATAGATGTTTTTATATGTAAACTAGATATATATTTTTTTAATTATAGTTAATTATTTTGACTTGATAAGAAGTGATTGTACCTCATAAGGTTTTAACCATAATATACAAGTCATCTCTGAACCATTGTATTCAAAAAAAAAGTAAATAGTTGGTTTAATAATATGAATGGACTTAATAAGGTTGGTGTGTGTGTGCAGTCTATCAGTGAATCACTTAGTTCATTAGATTTTATAATAGAAAGGTAATTTAGGGAAATAGAAAAAATTGTGTCTGTGATATAAAACTTAAAGTAAAGAGATGCATTTGGAACATACAGAATGAAACAAGTAAACAGCTAAACTGTGAATACATATGTTTTGTTGAGGAATCATAGGATTGAGAGGTTAAAATGTAATAGTTGGTCAATTATTTTGAGGTAATTCAAACTGCTTTCTTCTTAATCTCTCAATGGTAGAATTAATGATACACTGTATGTACGGTAATTTTCTTTACTGTGTTTAGTAAACAGAGTTAAGAACTTATGGTGTATGTTGAATAATGATTGAATTTGATATTCATTATCCAATAAACAAACTGATGATATGGATTGTATGAAAAATATTTTTTTTTAGTTAGTATATGGTAGTGGAAGAAAAGAAAAGTGAACTTGGTTGAGTTGAAGTTTGCATCCAATGGGAATACTTTTGTCAGGTATTTGAGAAAAGCTTTTTAAAAAAGACATACAAATAATAATTTCTGGGGAAGTGTGAAAAATATTTGAGATTGGTGGTGGATGTATTACAAAACAGCTCAGTGTGATACATTTATAACTTTTTAGTGAGTTTTCTGAAATCTGTGTTTGGACGTGTAGAGATAAGAAGATTTTAATACTTGTGAAATCTACAATGTGGGACATTGTTTCTGTGAAACTTGGCATATCTGTTTGTGTGAGATCTGACATATTTACTTTTGTGAGAGAGTACATATCTTTCTATTCATATTAGACCTGGTATATATATATATATATATGTATTAATGCTTTGTAATCAAACTATTATACTGATCTTATTTTATTCTAAAAGGGGATATTTGATAGTGGTATATTATAGAAATTGCATTTGAGCTATGACAAGAGAAATTTTTTCAGCAAGAAGGAGATAAAAGTATACTGCTGTGAGCTATTCATAGAAACAAAAGGTTAATCCAGCTTATTGTGGTTTGAAAAGGAAGAAATTTAACCAACCGCTGTTAGTTTTCATCGGATGCTGTAGATATGTTTAACTATGAGAGAGTTAAAATGTACATTTTTTTACCAGGGTTTCTATTAGTGTAAAAGCTTTACAAAGAAAAAACACAAGTTGTTTTGTATAGTTTATTTCATATGTATTGGTTAGATATGAAAATTTTTATCTTGGAGTTAATTGTTATGACAGATTATCTGTTACAGGTGAAAACTATTTAATAGAATATGTGTTGAGCACATAAGGCAAAGTTTTCCTTCATAATCAATGAATTACTAATATGTATGTAGGGACATTTTCATGTGTCTTGACAAGTTTGCTTTGACATGATATTTGTTGAAAATGTTTTTTGTTGTTGTGTTGTACAAATATTAAAAGGTCTCTCATAATACAGTGCAGAGTAGCATTTACAAAGTCCCAACAGGTATTACAATTATTTGTTTAAAATTTAGATAGATGAGTATAAAGAGAATGCATTTGTATGAGTTACAGAAATGCCACATTACAAAGTGAAACATCATCTTGATTAATAATATGCATAATATAGCCGCTAGTGCATTGCAATGTTTTGAAACCTGAGTATTCAAATCAGTGAATATTTTTTAACATACGTTTAACATAGATTACTATTTTATAAAGCAGAATTTCTATGGAGCTTTAAAAAGTCTTAGATTGGTTTTTGTTTTATTAAAGCCTGAAAAGTCTTAAATATGTTGCTGAAGGTCTTAAAAAATCTTAAATCAGTCATAAGCTAAAAAATGTTCATGCTGTCAATAGACATATATATATATATAATACCAATAATAATATAGTATTTATATCTATTGAGAGCATGAACATTCTGCTTTGGCTAGTGAATGAGTCACCTTGACAAAACTACCTAGCATCTAGTTATGCACATCCGTGCAAGCAAAGATGTGCAATGGATGTAATGCAAGTGGCAATTCTGTGTTTGTATTAAGTGACCCGCACTATTAAGCTCAACATTAACTTCAAAGGATGTAGCATTTCATATTGACCAGTGCAAAGGTGCATGTTTAATATCAAGTGGTGGGAAAATGGCAAATATTGCAAGTAGTTGAAGCAAGACAATGGCAGTAAATATGAAGCTCATTGTGTGGTGTGTGTAAAGTCCTTCAAATTTGGAACAATGGATGAAAAGGCACTTGATTCTCATAGTCATGTGAAAGTAAATACCATAACTAGTGTGTCCACTGCCACTGTGTCTACAAGTGGTCCTGCTAGGAAAACAATACATCAGTTACCAGGACAATCATGTATCTACACCATGCATTCACTTTATCAAGTTTACCCCAAGTTGTGGGACATTTGCAGGAAGCTACTTCTCTTATTCCATAGGCAGGCTACAATTGAAAGAGGGTTCTCTATCAACAAAGAAGTAGTGATCTGCAACACACTAGACAACACTGTTAGGACACACAGACTAACTTGTGATAATGTCATTATCTGTGCAGGAGTCTTTAAAGTGGGGATCATCAAGGAGCTCCTGAACTTTGCAGCAACTGCAAGATCAAGGTATAGGGTCTGTCTGGAAGGTGAGAGGAAGAAGTAGATGAAAACAGAACAACAAGGTCAAAGATGAAACAAGTGGAAGAAGAACTTAAAATATTGAATAAGAAGAGGAAGCTTTTGCATGATGTTTGTGAAAGCTTGGGAGCAGATGTTCACAAATTTGCTGAGCAAGTCATGTGGCAGAACTTATTGCCAATTCAAACACCATGAGAAGAAGAATGGAGGAGAAGATATCTAATTTGAAGGATTTGGACTTAGAACTGGAAATTAAGATAGAAAAACTAAAGCATTTGCCACAGACTTTAAACACACAGAAAGCAATATAAAAAATAGGACTATTTACACTTTAGACTCCTACAAAAAACTTATTCATATGTAAAAAAACGTGAAGAATAACAAAACATCATGTTAGTAGATGAGAAACAATCATTTTGTTAAATACATTGGTATTCATTGTAAATGCATTAAAGTTGAAATAAATAACTTATAGAAGCTATTTGAAAGTTACTTAAAAATATTTTCATTATTTTTTGGTCAAATTACTGTGAAAATAGGTCCTTACTAAGAGTTAATACTGAGTCTGTTTGAAGAGCCCCAATATCTTGATAGGCCAGTCTCATAAATGGCTATGCATAAAATGACAGCTTACAGTTTTGTACTTCTAAAATTTCCTTTAAATTAATGTTAAAAAAGCAACTTTATGTGCAGTATTATAAAAAATTATTGGGGTTTGTTAAATTAAAATGAGAAAATTTAAGCTATTTTACTGTAGTGAAATTGGTTTATTTTTCAGTTAAGATCTTGTCCGACTAATAATGTTTCCCATGGAATGACGGATCTTATTGTTCGGGACTGGATAGGAGAATTCCAGGTAAGTCTGTGTGTGTGTGTGTGAATATCATAATTTTGTAAACAAAATATAGTGTTGCTTCATAATGAAGTTTAATATTTCAATGTGTGTATTATATACTGCTACCATATATATATATTTGTATAGTTGTATATAAATTATTTTTGACTGAAAAAAATTTGTGCAAGGTAATTACTTTGTAGAATTATTTTCTAAAGAAGTGTCATTTTGTGGAAAATAGGTTTTATTGCTTCAATTGTCTTAATACATGCATCATTTTGAGGATAAACTTTGATATTAAAGAATTATGTGAGTGAAAAGAAATTATATAGTATGACATAAATATATATGTATATTTTTTACACTTTTAAGGAAGTTGCTAAACATAGGGTAAATTTTAAAATACAAGTTTTTTTACTTCATTTTTGAATATCATTACATATTGTGAAAATGTATAGTAGTTTTTAAGCTGCAAAAACTGTAAAATATATCTTGTGAATGAAAATGCCATAACACAGTGATTCAGATAGAATATTTGGTAATCATTCATCTACTATTAAATATTATGTACCGCCTTGTAATCTGATTGGCCACATTCAAGACCAGTCACATTTAAAGCTGTCTCACAGTAGTGTTGTACATTGTACATGAACCTTAATGCCAGTTTTATTAATTCTGTGATACAAGCTTTACTTTTCCTTGTGCAGTCACTATATTTAATAGGCATGTGTATTCAGTCACCTAAATGTATTTTAACAGTGATTAACTGTCTTTATAACAGTTTTCTGTTTATAAAAATACTAGTATTATGTTTCATATCTGGCAAATAATCTGTGGACATCCTATGATATAGTTAAGGAAGCCTTTAAAGCCTATTAAAGATTTGTTATTTTCATTATTATCCTTTACTTTTGCCAAAAACTCTGGAAACTAGTGCATATATCTAAGATAGGCATCAATAAGTGGAATAGGAAGTAGAAAAGAAAATATCAAGGATATTTTTTTGTTTATGGTAAAAGCAACCTTTAGATTAGAAAAATAGTATGGACACATGGAAGAATGAGATTTTGCTGGCATAATTCTTGTAGTCACAATAATATTATGTTTTATTTGTAGGCACTAAGTTCATCAGAAGTTCACAGTTTTGCTGCTACCATAAGAGAAAATACAGAATTGATTCAGGCTGTTTTTACAGTTTTGGAAGAAAAGAAATACCATGTGGAGGTAATTTAACAAATGCCAAAATAAGTCCATAATAACTAATATACAATATTATAGAACTGTCATATTTTTTATGTAGATAAATTTTATTTCAAAATCAATTTCAGCCTTATCTAGCAAATAAATTTTAGTTTTTTTAATATGAAAATAACTTATTTGAAAAGATTTTAATCTACTATTAGGTGGATTTAATACAATCTTGTATATGGCAGATTCATAAGGTTTTGAAAAGCAAATCATATATGTTTATTAAATTTTCATTTCCTATTCAGTTATAATATGTTTTTATTTCAATAGGTATGAGTATTAGATCATGCTGAGATCAATGTATGGCCATATTACCAAGATAAATTCCATATCTCTGTTTAACTCTCTCAAGATGGGTCACAGGTGAAAGGCCATTTCATCTCGTTTATTGACTCACATTCAAATTTTATTGAACTACCATTTCATGAATTTATGTCAGTAAGTTTGGTATCAAACTGTAGATTATAATTCAATTTTAGTACTATATATTACT